CGTCGCGGGTTCGAGAGGGGCGTCCGAGGGCTCCGGGGCGGCGGGCACGAATCCGGCTCCGGGCACGCGGGGCAGACGCGGCGCCAGCTGCAGCCACTTCGGCTTGCGAACCTCCAGCATCTCCCGCCGCTCGCCTGCATCGGATTCGCACCCCGGGCCGGGGGCGGGCTGGGGGCGGGGCCTCCCTCAGCATGCTCCGCCCCGACCCTGGAGGAGCTTGAGGCTGGAATCCCACTCGAAAGCCAGCTGATGAGGGGTAGCAGAAGTCGGTGAATACTAGCCTGCCGGACCGGGGCTAGGCTCTCAAAGGCTCTCCTAGGCCCTCGGACTGACGGGGAAACGGGGACCTGAGGGGCCTTCATATGCCCATTGTAGAAGGTGTGGGGAAAGCCTGAGTCCTGGAGCTGCATAGGAGTGTCTTGGCAGGTAGCAGTCCCTAAGCAAGCGGAGCTCACAGCTCCCAAAACCTGACTCAAAGAGCAGAACCCACTTAGAAGAACCAAGTGGGCAGTCGCTAGGGCAAGCTGCACTGCAGACTGCCCCCGCCCAGCTAATAAACACACGGGGAGGGGAGTACAAGTGAGGGCTCCACACCTTGGTTGGCAGTGTCCTTCCCTACACTACCCTCCACTCCTGAAAGGTCAAAGCCTTTCCCTTCCCCATGTCCCAGCCAGGGTGGCTGACTGAGTCTGCCCCCTCCTGTGTGGCACTGAATTTCCCAAGCTATAAATGTTACCTATGACATGGTGTAGACTCTGCTTTCTTTCCGGTTTAATCCCCCTTGAACGTTGCATTAGTGGCATCCCTATTGGTGGTCTGGGCTGGCATATGGGGATACAGGAAAACAATAGCACCAAGGAGCCCCACCAACCTGGCCCCTGATGGGAGGAGGCTGAGAATTGCCAGGAAGTCCTAGGCCATTTTTCTGTCCCTTGTCAGGGAGGCATAGGGATCTAATGCTTGCCCTGCCACCTTCACAAACCTTGAGGCCACTTTTTGAAGGTCAGACTTAGGCTTCTCTATGCCTGGAGTCGGGTGCCAGCCGGCACGAACCCGCTCAGTGAGCCTCCTGACCTCATCCTGGGTGGGATCGTCTCCAAGCCCTTGGCCATGTTGAATAAGTCTCCCCTGCATAGTTCCCCATAGCTGCTGATAGGAGCAACTACCCAAGTGAGGAAGTTAGGGCTGGGGCTGTGGCTAGAAGTCTAGTCTGGGAGATGACTGCCCAAACAGGATCCCTTCAATATCTATCTACAAAGTGGGTGTTGAGGAGGAGTCCTTCACATCCTTCCCTGGCTTTGGGTCACCTCTTCCAGGCCAGGCTCCCTGGGCTCTGGGTGGTCTGAATCATGGCACCAACTCCACCCGTGGGTAGGAATCTCCTGGCAAGCTGGACACCTTGTGCCCAGAGCTAAAGGCACAAGAGCCTGTGTGGCATCTCAGTATGCTCAGTTCGTGTCTGCAGAATGAATAAATGGCCTGGCTCTCAGTCCTACCTGCTGTCTGCCCACTGTCATTGAAACAGTGATTCTCTGAGTTCTCTGGTACAGCTGAACCATGGCTTGCTGACCCCACACACGTCACACACATTTTCTGCTTTTCCTGAAGGTCACGACCATCCAGGCACAGAGAAGCTGGGCCAAAGAGAAGCTAAAATGTGGGGGATTTAGAGGCAAGGAAGAGGTAGCTTGCGAGAGCCCTGCCTACTGCTGGCAGTGCTCCACCTCTTCTTGGTCCCGTGCACACTCCATGTGCCTGTGGGTGAAAGCACGTGGCAGGGTGTATGTGCACACGTGTGAGTACATCTGTGTGTGTGTGTGTGCTCTTATGCCATGGGAGATGGCAAGAGCACAGTGTGTGTGGTGGTGCCTAGGGGCACGTGTGTTTGCATTCTGTGTGCACCCAGGCATGCCTGCTCGCGTAGGCACATAGACGCTGTAGCTAGTCCCTAGAGCCATGGGTCCCCTTCCTGCCTGACACAGGCCTCAGGATTGTGGAGGCTGACTCAGGGTGTGACAGCAGGACATAGGAAGAGGGTGGACCATGCCCAAGGGTGGACAGGCGCTGGGGTGACCCTATATCATTGGCTATTTCTAGGGCAGCCCCTCACTCTCAGATGTGTGTGGGTGTAGCCGGGTCTTTGCCCTTTGTGGCAAGGGCAACCTAAAAACAAGAACCCAGGGTTGGGACAGGGGTATGGCTTGTCCCTCAGCTCCCAGCCAGAGGGGCACAGGCCAGGTAGGGTTTCAGTGTTTTGGCTTCAACCTGCAGCTGCCCTCCAGGCAGGAAGTAGCAACACCAGCTGAATGCCTTCTCTCAGCTCTTCCAGGCCAGGGACTGGGCTGACACAGAGCTTTATTACTCACTGTACTCTTTAGAGCCAGACAAGTTCAGGGGCCATGATTTCTAGCCACCTGCATGGCCAGAAGGAGGGTGGGAGGTCCTTCAGCACAGGGTGGAGTTGAGGACAGGAGCAGGGGCAGTTGGCATTGGCACTGGCATTGCCCCATAGTCTCTATGAGGGTCTCCTGAGGAGGCCTGCACCCCAGCCTCCTTGTGGGCAGGGGCTGCATGGGTTGGGAGGCTGAAGAGGAGAAGGGAGCCCAAAGTGAACAGTTCCAGCTCCCAATGGAGCTAGATAGAGACAAGATTAGGTGTGAGCCTCCATACCTAGAGACTACAAAGCAGGCCAGAGCCTCCTCCCCCAGCTCAGGTTGTACCTCCCACCCAAGTTCCAGGATTTACCTGCACCACTACCTGGATTTCCTGTCCCAGGACACCAGAAGCCAGCACTCCTATACCTTCAAATTCTGACTGGCTGCTAGAGCCCCTGCCAACCCAGCATGGAGCTCCAACCAAGCTTCAGAATTTAGGTGGTAACTGCATTACCAGGCCAGCTCCCCAAGAAGTCCAGACTCAGACAGGTATCCTCCCTTGGGGGCAACAAATGCTCCCAGCCATCTGTGGAACCCTTTGGCTGTTGTCAAGTTTCCTGGCCTCAGCCCCTTATAGAGGGCCCAAGGTGGGGGAAGGCAAGCAGTCTTTTCTTCTGGAGCTAGGGGAGGGGGCTGTTCCCCCCACTTCATGACTCACTCCAGGCTGTGTGGGTTATTACATTATGTTTGAAATTGCCATGGCAACCAGCTGGCAATCAAGGGTAATTGAGCTTGTCACCAGGGCAACAGGGCAAAACCCACAGCAGCCACTCTCTGTAGTTGCCCTTGGGGTGCAGTAAAGGTCAGGTTAGACCAGGGCCAGTGCCAGGCAAGGGGCTCTGGGGCTCTGGAAGGGATAGGCTTGCCAAGGCCCCTGGAATTCCAGTGTGTGGAAGCAGGGGGTGCCTTGAGAGTGCCAAGCCCTCCATCTCTGACCCCATGCCTGGACTCCTGCCCTTCCCTCCACCACCCTCTGCCTAAAATGTGCCACAGTGGTCAAAGTAAGCAGAACCAGAACTTTTATGTGCTCACAGATGGTACTTGTAGATGGCCCAAGGGCCCTCCTCCTCGTACTCATGGCGGCTGAGCCACAGGCTCTGGAAGGAGTCTCGGGACACCATGATGGAGCCTCCGAGCCAAGCAGCAACAGCACGGTGCGGAGAGCCCAGTACAGTGGCACAAGGGCCCAGTTCCTGTCTCAGGCGTTCAGGAAAGCCATTCAACAGGGTGCTACCACCATCCAGCACCACATTAGCCAGCAGCTGCTCCTGCTGCTTGGCCTCCAGACGGCTGATACTTAGGAGGGCTAGTTGTGGGAGGCCTGGCTGATTGAAGCCTAGCAGATTGGGCTGGAAGAGGGCCTCGGGGCAGCAGAAGCGCTCAGAGCCCAGCGTGATGACCTGCTTGTCTGGAAGCACAAAGTCCACCCGGGCCTGGGCCTGGGCACGGGCCATCTCGGCTGTCATGTCCATGGCCACATAGCAGCAAGCCTCTTTAATCTGGTTGACCAGCTCTGCCTTGGGCGGTGAGTGGCCACTTGCCAACAACAGCTGAGCCAGGTATTCAGTGAGGTCAGCACCAGCCACATCCAGCCGGTAGGTGTCCAGTGGGGCCAGATCCCCGGTGATGATGGGCGCCACATAGGAAGTGCCATGGCCACTGCCCAGCACCAGCCCAGTGGTGCGCCCATAAGCATAGAGCGCCAGCAGGGCCTGATGCACCGTCTGCATAGCTGGCACATGGAAACGCTCAAAGAGTATTTCAGCTACCTTTTCTCGGTTGGTGCGCGGTGAGATGGGTGAGTCAGCTACCAGCACCGCCAGCTCCTCGGGCCGCACACCCAGCCTGCAGTAGAACAGGTGCTGCCACAGCACCTCCAGCGCATCCCAGTCGGAGACCACTCCTCGATTCAGCACTGAGTAAGAGCCCTCTCGTTTCTCAGGCACTGCATACCTGGGCTGGCCCTGAACCGGGTGCTGGAGCAGCTGTACGCGTGAGGGCACTACACTCAGGACATGGTCTTCTCCAGCCAGTCCACACTTGGTGAAGCCTGTGCCTGTGTCGATCACCACAGCTGCCATGTCCTGGTAGGGGCCCAGAGTGTGGCGGCAGAGCACTGGGGACTGCACTGGCAGGGTGTTCATGGTGGGCACCAGCTCATAGCAGGCCCCTCGGAGCAGACCAAGGTGTGCGACCACTGGTGAGTGTGTAATGTCCTCAGCTGTCAGCTTGAACCGGGGACCTTGGAGCTCAGGGCCCACCATGGCCATGGGCAAGACCTTGCAACCAGTGCCAGATGTGGTGAATGGGATCAGGGACAGCTGCGCCTCTTGGGCCCTGGGAGAGCAGCCAGGTTGCCAGGATGAGAGCTGATGTGTGCTGGAGCTTTGAGTAGCACTGGCACCAACTTTTTCTCTGTTCACAGAGACACAGGTCTCCTCGGGGGGCAGGGGCACCCGAACCACCCCCACGTGGGTACGTTGGCCCAAGGGCTCATGTTCCTGGCACAAGGTGGAGGCCTGACCAGGTTCCCTAGTGGCAGGGGGCCCTCGTGAGAGGGTAGGCACAGTGGAGATGGGAGGCACTTGGGAAAAGGGAGGCTGCAAAGTGAGAGAAAGCTGCCTGCCATTAGGTGTCCCAGGAAGAGGGGGCTGACCAAGAAGGCAAGTCTGCTTGGTGGAGGGGGCCTGCTCAGCTACGGGTGGCTGTCCCGAAAGGTAGGTCTGCCTGGTGTGGGGACAGTGCTCTGCAGAAGGAGGCTGACTGGTTGAAGGGGGCTGTCTGGCGAGGGTACACTTCTCGGCTAGTGGGGGCTGACCACCGAGGGGACCCTGCCCAGCATCTTGGACCTGAGGGTGGTCAGGATGAGGAGTAATGACCTCTTTCTGACCGTTGCTGCCTACATCCTTCTGGAGCTGGGGTCTGGGCACATCCTGGGTTTTGGCTGGTGGTACATGCTCTGGGCTCTGCTCTGAGTTCATCCACTGCAATTTCTTGGCCTGGACCATAGAGGTATTCTGCATCCTGGAGGCATCCAGCATCCAGATGGTGCGACTAGCTTCATTTTTTTCAGCATCAGGTTTGGACCAGCCAGGACCATGGGCATGGCTAAGTGTCCTCTCTCCAAATTGGAGGGGCATCCCCAGTGGAATGGGCCCAGTGAGCATCCCCATCCTGATGGGTGTCTCAGTACCAGGGGAGTCCACTGACTCCAGGTTGACCCTGGCCTCCTTGGGAACCAGGGCCACCTCTCGGTAGCTTCCAGATGAAAGGCTAGAGGGCACAGGGCTGGACACCATGGGCGTGGTAGACCAGAGGCTGGAGCGATTGCTGTCAGGGGAGAGAATGGGCATGGCTAATGGCCGGGTAGACAGCGTATTTTCAGAGGCACGGATGGATGAGTGGCTGGGCATGAGGCCCACCAGCACTGCGCGTGAGCCCATGGGGTCGTGGCACAGTAGCCCCATCCTGGTATTGCCTGTGGCCATATCAAACACCAGCACACGGTCTTCTACAGCATCCTGGAGCTGACAGGTAGGGGCACTGGAGAGGGGTATCTGCATGGCTTCCCTGGGAGTCTCTGCCGGGGACTGCTTGTGGTAGTTTACTTGGTGGGCAGACAGGGGCACATTGGAGCAGGTGTTGTCGCAAACATTGAAGGGCTGCTGATCTGGCTGAGAGCTGCAGATCTCCTGGCTACCCCTCTGGGACTTGGGGGTCCCTGGGGGCCCTGAGCCTGGTTTTGGGCTGCTTGGCCTGGAGGTACAGACCAGGGGCTTCTCCAGTTGGTTTTCAGGCTTCTTGGGTAACACAAGCCTTCTGGCAACCTCGAGCTCCTGGGCCTGGTCTGGGGACTGATTTGGAGTGGGTGCTGGGGTGGGAGGCTCATCCTGAGAATGGAAATTCACTTTGTCCTGGCAGGATGTGACCCCTTTGGAAGACTCCGAGTAGATTGACCATTGATTGCCATGATTCCTGGGAAAGAGGTCTTGGGACAGGCCCTTGGTGATGGCATTAGTATTAGTCAGGGGGTCGAGGTTGCAGGTGTAAGTTTCAACTGCTACTGATATTGGGGTTGTATCCAGAGCTGGAATATTTGCCTGAGTTGAAGCTGGAGGAGCCTGAGTTGGACATGGACACTTGTCCTGGTCCTGATCTTGCACTGGGGCCAGAAGAGGAACTTGGGCTGCAGCTGAGCCATCCTCCCCTGGAAGAAAACAGGGTAGCCACCGGCTCTTTCTAATGCCCATTGGGGCTATCTGATCAGGGCTGCAGGGGCCTCTGCCCCAGCCTACTAGAACTTTAGCTGGAGCCTTGCCCTCCCCCGAAATCTGCACCTGAAGCCGGGAGCAGCAGAGTCCGTGCTGGGCCATGTCACTGGTACCGTCACTGCGCGTGCACACAGGTAAGGCCAGGGTCCTGTTCTCCATGTTGAGATGTGTTTGGGCTCCCACGACGGGGCTTGGAAACGGGCTAGTGGAGGAGAGGGTCAGGGCATCCTGGGAGGCCTGCTCACAGCCACATTGGGAGCTAACCTGAGCAGGGTCCTGGAGTTGCTGGTGAGTGGGCTTGAGGGTGTGGGTCTGGGAGGCTGGGCCATAGGCCCCATCAGTGATGGCCTTGGTGGACAGTGACAAGCCCTGCCTCAAGTATACAGATCCTGAGTTTATCCAGGGTCCCTGGGACCCTCTAAGGCCACCCCCCAGCTGCTGGCTACCAGCCAAGGGGTGGCCCTGGGGGCCTGATGGATCAGGGTCCCCCACTTTCTTGTTGACTTCCATAGTCCTGCTCCATGCCCTAGGTGCCCTGCCCCCACTTCATTGCCATGGCAACTCCACACATCACAGCCCCCAGTGACCTGGGGGAGGGTGATAGAGTGTGGGAAACCAGGGGCCCCACCCCCCTGAGGAGTGGGGGCCTGCCCATGGAACCCTGGGGGACAGAAAGGCCAAGGGATGCCAGTGGCCATCCACTGGACTGGCCAACTCTGGACTGGCCTCCTCTCTCCTTGCCAGCCAGGTGACCACTCGGCCCAGGCCAGCCCTTGCGTGAGGGCAGTGCTCCTGGAGGTGGGAGTGTGTATAAGGCCAAGGGAGAAAGGTAGGCAGAGGAGATGCTGAGGAAGCCCCTGCATTCCCAGTCTACCTCAGATGCCAGACTTACTCTTTCTGCCCAGTTCCCAAGTGGCAACTTGAGACTTAAACCCTGACCCAGGGATGCAGTTCCAAGTGTGTGACATGAGGCCCTTTGGGGGTCCAAAGCTCCTTCACCACTCAGTCCTAAGAGGCAGAAGTGGGTGAGGGGCCCAGGCTCAGGCCCAAACTCCCCTCCCCCATGTTCCCCGGCTCCCACTCCAGGGACAGCAGCTCCTTGGCAGTCTTTCTGCTCCAGATGGTTCTCCTCTGCCTGTGCCTCCCAGAGCCCCCTCCCCAGAGCCACATGTCCTTGAGGCCCAGGACCAGTATCTCACAGGGGTGGGGATGGGCACAACTTGGACGGGGGTGGGGCCTCTGCTCAGAATCCTCAAGTCAGAATGTTCTAGCCTTTGTCACATTGTGTCAATTTCACCTTGGCCAGAAGGAGGCTAGAACACTGGGCATAGGCCTAGGCCACAGTGGACACTGGGCCAGTCAAGTCACAATTACAGGATGGGGCATAGTGGGGATACAGTGGTTACAGGGCCATTCTCACAGTGGGCAGAGGGCTCGCTACACAATGGGGGTATGGTGGGTGTGGGACTGGACACACAGTGGGCACAGCTGCATACATAGGGAGGACAAGCTGGACAAAGGAATAAACTTGGAGAGGCATACAGGAAAGGAAGCTGTCAGACCAGGTGGGCAGTTCCACCCTCCATTTCTTAGATGGGCAAACTGTGGGTCAGGGAGGAGTAGGACCTGCCTGGCCCACCATCCCAGGCCCAGATGTGCCCTGCAGCCACAGAGGACAGGCCTAGTTTGGGGTACCACCTATTTCCACAGGCCTGGCTCTGGAGTTCTGCCTGGGGCAGGGTCAGACCCTCCACCCTCCCTCAGCTATGAGCTCTGGGTCTCCTCCCTCTGTTGTCCAGGGCTGGCCTCTCAGGCCTCAGTCTTTCCACCTAGGAAACAGGTCTGTGGAGAATGCAGCTGTAGGCTTGTCTTCTGAAGCAGTGTGTTTTCACAGGAGTTAAAAATAGTGCTTACAGTTGGGCTGTGGGGTGTGAAGCGATGTGACCAGGGACCAAGGCTAGCACTGAGCTCTATCTGCACATTCCTGACTCGGGATTGGGCACAGCCTGACTCAGTCATGTCTCAGGCCCCCCGGGACCCCTCTCCCTTCCCCAGATGCTGCCTTCAGTTCCAAATGAGGACAGATGCCTCTGCTTACCACACACCCAGGAAGGTGGCAGAACCCCAGGGTCTGTGGCTTGCACGTGTGTGCATACGCACACATACTTGCTGAGCACTGTTAACTTCGTTAATCTCTTGCCTGGAGCAAACTGTTTTTTTATATTTTGTTTTGTTTTTCCCCACAAGAGAGATACTAGTAGCAGCCTCTGATGCTCTTGCAGCCCTTCAGCTGGGCTGCACCTGGGAGGGCTGGGGAGGCATGGAGGGAGGACCTGAAAGCTCCTGCCTGTCTGACCACTGAGCCATCCCCAACATCCTGCGGAAATGAGGCGTAATCATCCTTTCCAGGGCTGGAGTCCTTGTGAACTACTGACCTGAGAAGGGTGTGGCCTGTGAAGGAGGGACCAAAGAAGGCAGTCTGGAGAGAGGAGAAGGCTCTTCCTACCTGGAAAGCAAACACCCTTGAGAGCAACAAGAAGAGTGACAACTACTGACTGGGTCCTTCCCTGGGCCAGGCAGCGCTGAGCATTGTAACCCAGCTTCACAGCAGTTCAGTGAGCCGGAGACAATCATCCTTATTTTACAAACGAGGAAATCAAGGTACAGAGGGGAGAGAACTCACAGGGGTCGCAGCTAATGAGTTGTCGAGCCAGAATCCAAAGCCAGGCCACCAGGCTCTAGATACCACACTTCAGGAACCTATGGTGCCACCACTGGGTGCCTGCCCAGGGCCATGTAGGCACGGACCCTCCTGGAGGGGAGCCAACATGCCTTGCTTCTGAGTGCTGCCTCCCCAAACTCCAACCCACATGGACCTGCTCCTCTTCCCAACAGCTTAGCAGGTGGGCATTTTTAGGAGGGGAGCATTTTTTCCTTTTCGTGCCACTAAATCAGTGCCCTCCCAGGAACCTGGCGGTGCTGAGTAGGGGCTAGTTACATACCTGGGGGACCAAGCTGAGTCCTTTGTAGTCAGAATTCTTGGCTGGCTGAAGCCCCTTCCGTTTCATCCAGCCGAGGGGAGGGGCAGCAGGGCAGTTTAGAGAGGCTCCCAAGCTGGGCCTCTTCTGCCCAGCCCCCTGGGATCAGGCAGGGACATTGCCCCTGTACCCCTCCCCCCAACATGTTTTTAAATAGTCTCTCACCAGGAAGAAGGGCATCCAATTCTATTTCTGATTCTGGAAAGTGAGGAGGGCCAACATGTTACCATGGAAACCTGGAGAGCCCCTCCCCCAGGCTGAGCCCATTCCCCAGGCTGAGAGCTGTCTGGGATGAAGGGGCCCAGAAGCAACAGGAAGGAGTTCAGTCTGAGGGCAAGGCCAGGCAGAGGCTCCTCTGTGAGGGCAGATTCCAGCATTGCCTCCCTTCACACTTCACCTGACCCCTTCCAGGCAGGCCTAGAGAGAGGGGGAAGGCCCCTGTGGAGAGGGTCAGACTTCAGGAGATGGGGTGAGTCACCTCACTCTGAGAAACCCTCCTTCCCTGTGGATCAGGCTGGAATCCTCCCACCAAGGAGGCCTGGAGGATGGTGGGTAGGAAGGGCATCAAGAGGAGAGGCATAGGAGCTCCATTCTACCCAGAGCTCCGTGACCAGCCGAGTCTTCCAGACCTGCTTCTCCCACACAGACGTATTTTTGGCTCTGTTGTGTTCTCAGGAGTCAGCTCTGTCAAGTCCCTGGCCCTGCACTCTTCCAGTCTACCTGCCTTCCCCTCCTGGGACTCTGGGAAGACTCTAAACATCTCCAAAAACCTAGGATCAAAAGGAGGCTGAGAGGGCTCCCAGTGCAGCCAACCACTTGATAATGGAGTGAAAATCAATGCCTGTTTCCCCAGACATTCATCCCTGCCCACTGTCCAGGGGCTCACACACCAGCCCTTCTATCCCAGAGGCTGTACATGGGTAGCATTTAGATCTGTGGAGGGAGGGCACCCCAGATAGGGGAACAGCCCAGGCAAAGGCAGGCTTTTGAAGAGACCCAGAAGGACATTGTGATCAACCCTCTCTAGGTACTGATGGGAAACCAAAGCCCCCGAGGACAAAGGCTGCACTCTTGGTCTCTCAGCTCTATACACAGCACTCTGCGTTTTCCTCTCCTCCCTGTGAACCCTAACTTCCTGCTTCCCTGGCAGTCTCTCCTGGTCAGTGTACCCATTCCTTGGAGGCAACACCATGTTTGAAGGAGCTGGCACACCTTCTCTCTGCCCACCCACCTGGCCCCAAAGGAACGCAGTCACGGTGCAGGGAACCCCAGTCCTAGAGGAAGCTATGGCAAGATGAGGGGTGATAATCCACTCCTCGTCTGGGATGTGAAAGGCAAAACCCAAGAGTGCAGGAGGACGTGGCTCTTGAGCTCTAAGGCACGGAGAAATTCAAATAACAACTGTTTAAACAACCTTCCCTGCAAGCCATGGTGCAGTGACCCCTCTGCTGTGATGTGTTACAGCTTAAAAATAGCCCACAATGAACCGCTCTGAGCTCCAATTGACTCAAGCTTACGTAACTCTGAGTGAAAGATGGCCAGCCGCACCAGCCAGGAGGGAGGACCACAGCACAGCCACCCTGACAGCTGTCCACAGCTGGCTTAGGGACTGGAGCGAGCGCCTTACCCTCCCTGGGAGTAGGAACCAGCAAAGGATGAGGGGAAGGAATTGCTGTCAGAACATGCAGGAATTCATGACTGCCAAGAAGAGACCTCCGAGCACACCTGCAAAGGGGGTGTGAGGAGAGCTGCCCTCCCTCAGGGTCCCTGAGGAACCCAGGCTCAGTGGAGGATGGGGGTGACTAAGAACTGCTGGCTGGGTTAGAGAGACCAGGGTGGGCACTCACGAGGGCAGAGTGACTGGGGCCACCCAAGGAATTCCTTTTCCTTTGGAGAGGGGGCTCCCCAGAAACATGTCAGCAGGACCGATGCCAGGTCATCATCTTTAGACCTGAAGAACCCAGGCCACCCAGGAGGCCACCATAGCCAGAGATGAATGTGGTAGCTGTCCAGGCTCTCTTGGCCTCTAGGCTTGTTGGGTTAAAAATCTCGACTTGAATAAGCCTCAAAAGAATGAAGGGAGAGACTGAGGCTCAGCTGGCCCCTCTGTGCCAGATGGGAAATGTTGGGGGTGGTTCAGCAAGTCATCCCACCTCCTGGCTGGTTGGACTCTCACATGGGCAAAGCATAGGCTTGGGGTGAAGAGATGCTCAGTTCCTGAGGTCTTCAAGGAGAAATTTTCCAGCCCAGCATGAGTAAAAGGAGCCTGGCAGATCCCAGACCAGGGCTCAGCTTCTGATTCCCAGGGCTGCTTCTCTCCAGGCTGAGGCAGTAAGTGCAAGAGATGTGTCCTGGGCCTTCCAAAGCCTCAGAAACTTGCAGCTGCCCCCATGTCCCCTGACCCTGCCTGGCACTGAGGGGTCCTGCTCTCTCCTAGAAGTGAGGGGAGTCAGTTCCTGAAATGGCAGCAGAGGTGGACCCGGGACCTCATGGGCTGCACCAAGGGAGTGACTGATGAAGCTGCTATTTCAGGAAGGTCTCAGAGTTGAAATGAGGCTATGCCTGGAGCCCTCAGGTGTGACTCCCAGAGCGCCTTGGGGTCTCTGAGGAAACTCTCTGAAAGGCTAAGGCTTTGGCATAAGGGGAATCTCAGACCAGACTCATGGGCCCCCGTCAAAGCAGGTGGGTCTACCCTGTGCATGCCCTCCAGGTGCCAGACAACATGACACCAATGGGCAGTCAGGAGGGTGTGAGTCATCTGCTGCCACCTCAGCCCCGGCTCCCATCCTGGCCTTCCTCCAGCCTTTACTGGCAACTGCTTGCCCCCCAGCCTCTCTGAAATTGAGGCAGAGGAGCTGATACTTGCTGTCTACAACTCATGATGGGAAGACTGGACTCCCAGAGCCCTAGAGAAAAACCCGTCCTCACCCCATCCCACCCTCATGGCAGGCCTAGGCCCACCATGTCTACCAACAACTTTCCTCTTGCTCCAGCCACTACTCAGTACCCCCCCCCAGGAGAAAGGCAGCCCAGCCTTCACTAGCCCTGGAAGCCATTCAGAAAACTCCTGGTCCCCCCAGCCCATCTGGGGGCCTAGATATAACCCTCCCTTCCTCTCCTCCCTGGTGGCCCGGTCAGGAATCTGAAGCCCTGAAGCAGTTCCAGCTCCTAACACTCCAGATGGACTCAGGACTATCAAGTGGCTTTGAGAACAGTTAGGTGCTTGGGGGCTGCAGCATTATGGGGAGGAGATGCAGCTGTGCCAAGCCCCTGCTTAACTGTGTCCTCTCCTGGGCCTGGAGACCCTTGGCCCAGAAACAGGCCCAAAGTCCCACATTCTGGCTGCACAGGAAACCTGATACCCCTTGAGCGTCTTCCATCTTCCTTCTCCCAGACTCCTCTCCTTTCTAAGCTTCCCTCCCATCCAGAGACCCCCTTCTTCTCTGAGCCCCTCTCTTACGAACAGGTAAGCTAGAGGTCCATAAGCTGCAGAGGCTCAGTGGAGAAGGAACCTCAGACCAGCTTCAGAGAAGCCTCTGAACCTTCTCCTCACTCCCCACCCAGGGCTTGGGGCTTGGATGACCCTTAGATGCCCAGGATGAGGTTAGGGCACGAGGACTGCACCTTGGAAGGCTGGAGACGGTCCTTTCCAACAAGTATGGGGACCACAGCTCTGGAATACTCCAGCACTGTGGGAGTACAGTCCAGTCTCCTCTCTCCCAGCCTCAGGGGTGACATGATAGGTGGGAGCCCAGGGGTCTCTGGAAGAGCATGTAGGGCTACCATCTCCTCTGTGCCTGCACTCATGGGCATTAGAGGTGCAGTCAAACAGGTAGAGACTGAGTCAGCCTCTACCCTTCACCAGCTCATAGGGCCCTGACCTTCAGACCCCTGCGCTTGAGCGGAGAAGTCTTTTACCTACCTGTCCTCAGGGTCCTTAGGCTCCCCATAGCTGGGCCTCCCTGTGGCCTGAGGTGAGAGTATGGGTAGAAAACAGCTGGCCAGCTCCAGCCCCAAGGAGACCCAGGGTTCCACAGATGACAGGGCAAAGAGCTGCGGACCCAAAGGAGAGGCAGTCTACTCCCCTTTGGGTGTGGTGGGGTCTCCCAGCTGGTGGGATAGAGGCCATGGGGATCTGGAGCAAGAGAGAGGAACCACCAGGGTGCATGTGTTGGGCCCAGTCACCCTGATACCCCAGCTATCTACACCAGCAGGGCCCAGATGCCCCCTCAGCATTGGGGGCGTGGGGGAGGGGTGGGACCAGAAGGAAGTTGTTCTCCTTCTCCAGTGGAGTCTGCCCCTCCAGTGGGTGTTGTACAGTGGCCTTGATGCGTATAAACAGCCTGAGCAGTCTGCACCTCGACGCTGGTGAGCCAGCCTTGCTACTGGCTCATCTCTCTCAAGGTTGCAAGAGCAATGTGGTCAGGGATGGGGTGGAGGGAAGCAAGTCTCCACACCTTGACAGTGTGCGCGTGAGTGTGTGTGTGCGCGTGTGTGCGTGCATGTGTGCACGTGTGAGTGTGTGTGCACGTGTGTGTGTGTGTGTGTGTGGTAGGAGGGGGTGTTGGGGGAAGATAGCAGGTAGAGCAGGGAGCCCTGGAGAGGAACTGGGGCCTGGAAAATGGGACAGGCAGACTGGGCAGTGGGAGAAGCCACCCTGACTGCTACATGTCTGGGTACTCAACCTACCCCTCCTGGTTCCATCCAAAAGTCCCCAGGGCCCTAGATCTGGGCCTTGCCTACCCTTCCTGTTCTCTGGAGCCTTCTTGCTGACTCAAACCCTTTCCAGCCTCAGGGTCTTTTCATGCGCTGTTCACTCTGCCCAAAACTCTCTTCCCTCAACTGCTTCTGGCACAGTTCCCACTGACAAAGTCTCAGAAAAAAATGTCACCTCCTGGGGTGGCTTCCCACACCTTTCTATTCATCTCGATATCTAAAGCTGCCCTCCATTCCCTCAAAACAGCCTGTCTGTTTCTTTCACAGCATTTATCACAATTTGAACTTGAATACTCATTTATTCATTTACTGATTCAAGGGCCAGTGGTCACCATCGAGTCCCCTGTGCCCAGCAGCCAGGCACACAGCAGACATTCCATAAATACTGCATCAAGGATCCCCTCACTGGTTCCCTCTGTGGAGTGAGAGGCCATTGTGCCTTGCACCTTCCTATGCCCCTGAAGGCTGAGAGGCAGGGACCGGCAGAGGCCAGCCCAGAGGCAGCTTGGGTTAACTCCCACCATTACACAGGTCCGATCCCTCGGGTCCTGCCTGGGGCTGAGGTCACGTGGGCCTTGGTGGCTCTGAGAGGGGCCGGGGCCGCCCTGTGCTCCTGTGCACTGGTGGGGACGGCGACTGTTCCGATGACAGGTTTGCCTTGTCAGAGGTGCCAGGGCCCACGTTCACATAGGCCACGGGCAGCTGCACGTAGTGGTCTCCTCGCAGTGTGGCCACCATGCGCTCCACTTCCCCTGCCAGCACTCCAAAGGTGGGTCTTGCTGCAGGATCTGCAGCCCAGCAGTGCTGCATCACTGCATACCTACCAAGTGGAGGAAAACGTCAGAGGCATGGTGCACTGCACCCAGAGACTCCGGGCCATCTGCCTGCTGTTACCACCCGGCAGGCCACACAGGGGTGAGGGCAGGTGACAGGACCTGGTGCCTCACATCGCCCAATTAGGGGCAGCTCTTCTCCTTCCCAACTTGGCAAGGTTGAATTGCATCAGGGAGCTAAGAGGTTGGGCTCCTGTGCCCTGTGACCTGGGCTATGTGATCTTGAGCAAGTTCCTTAACTCTGTGCCTCTGGATCCTTCTCTGATCACAGAGGTATTGGGGCATAAGGTGAGAGGATGCCTGTGCAGTTCTTAGCTTAGGGCCCAACTCACAAGCTATCATGGTTATCATCACATATCTTCCAGGAAGGAAGCCCAGATCTGGGGATTAAAAGGCCTGAGATGTGTGGGGCAGCACATGGCACAATGGTTCCCAAGCAAGTGTCTCTGGGTTTGTCGGGTGAGTTCTAATACATCCGCCTTTATCTTGGAAATATTATCCCTGCCTTAAATGATACTAAAATTGCCCTACACACAATAATCTCATATACTTTTTAGACCCTCTGAAGGTGGGACTGTTATCATTCCAACTTTCCAGATGAGAAAAACTGAGGCCCAGAGAGAAGGGACTTGCCCTGAAATAGAGGATGCTGTGGTGTGCCACCCAGATACCCCCCTTTATTCTGCCTGTGGCTGCTGATGGCTCTTGGCTGAGGCCCTGACTAGGAATTGCCCTAGGCAGAAAAGAAATGCCTCCTACAAGTTCACACTCCTTCCTCAGGGACAGCTGTGACCAGTGACTGACTAATGTCTGGTGCAAACAGCTGGGCCCCTTGATCTCAATTTCAGAAAACTCCGAAGGGCCTTTCCAGTGTCAGAGGTTTCCAGGGCATAGGCTGTAGCTTCTGTTGCATCTGCATCACAGGCCAACTTCTTCCCCTGCCTAGTCCTGCTTCTCTCACCCCCAGTCTACCAATAAACCCTCTGCACGTAAATCTCCATCTCAGAGTCTGTTTAGGGAGACTGCAATATAGGCAAATAGACAGTGAAGTTAATTTCCTTTACTTTGTTTTTTGTTTGGTTTTGTTTTGCAGGGGGAGGGAATTAGGTTTATTTATTTATTTTAAGTGGACGTACTAGAAATTGAACCCAGGACCTCGTGCATGCTAAACACACACTCTACCACTGAGATATACCCTCCCCCTAATTTCCCTTACTTTGAATCAGACGCATTAGTGATGTAAATAATAAAGAGCAAACCCAAGGCAGGCAGGGCAGTGAGGAAGGATTACTCATACCCTTCTGGAACACAGATTGGATAGGACTCATCAACCACCTTTACCTGTGTTCTTCCTGTTCTGACCAGAGACTTCAGCACAGCTGAGCCATGTGTGCTGCTTATGAAGCTGAACCTGGGCACCAAAACCACCCATCAGGCACTGATGAAACACAGCGGCCGTCATACCTCTGGGAACAGGCAATCTAAAACTATACCCAGTGGAAAAAAAAATCTGATCTGCTGATGGGGGGGAGGGGCTAGTGTGGGAGCTAATGGAACATTTCCTTGAGGTTAAGAAAGAGGAAAAGATGGAAAACAGCCCCCCTTGGTGGGGGTGGGTGGAGAGGAGTGCTGGGAAATCAAATCACTGGCCTCAATCCAGACTGAGTTAGGAAATGCTGTTACCATGGCAACTGTGATATTCTTCCAGCACCCAGCCCGGAATAGGGGTGGAACCAATCCGCAGATGAGGAAACTGAGGCCCAGAGAGGGTCCCTTTCCAGGTCAGCCAGAGAATCAGTCAAAGAATCAGGCAAGGACTCTGTCTCCAGCCCCTTTCTTGTCTCTGGGGCCTAGCTCACTCCCCATCACCACTTCCACATACTCACAGAGAATCGGGGCAATACTCAGGCTGGGGCAGGCGGCGACCCTGGGCCAGGAAGTGAGCGAGGTCAAAAGGGTCAATGTGGGAGTATGGTGGGGCACCCCGTGTCAGCAGCTCCCATAACAGCACACCAAATGACCACTGTGGGAGGAGAGAGGTGAAGGGACTGAACTCTTACCCCAAATTTGGAGACAGGTGGGTCCCCCCAGCTCCTCTACCTCTCAGAGCCCTCTAGCTGGAATGGAGGGGCTTGACCCCCCAATCAGAGCCCATTCCTCAAAACCTCACCAGCGTCTTCCCTCTGTCCCCACCCACCACTCGAGCCTGCCCAGAGTTGGTGTTGGGCAGGGCCCAGATTGTCTGGAGTTCATAGCCTTCTCTTGCCCTGACATCTGCCCAGAGGTGGGCAAATGGGCTGGGGGTGCTGCCCAGCTAGGGAATTCCCTGGACTCAGATCATCGTCCGGAGCTAATGGGCAAGTCCAGGATGAGTGTCCTCCCAGGACGCTGAAGCAATGTGGGCCCTGGGGCAGGTGGGGCCTTACCACATCAGACTTGGTGGTGAATCTGTAAGTCTGTAGGCTCTCGAGAGCCATCCATTTGACAGGTAGACGAGCGTGGCGGTGCTGTTGGACACTGTAGTATTCCTTGTCCAGGACGTCGCGGGCCAGACCAAAATCAGCCACTTTGACCGTGAATGACTCATCCAGCCTGGAAAGGGAATCACTCTCAGGACTGGCCCCTACCAGGCCCTGAACCCACCTGTCCCGGCCCGAACAGGGTTTCTGAGCCACAATGTCCAATCCAAGCCTGCACAGGGTAGACAGGAAAACAGACCCAGAGACAGGAGGACATGTCCAGGGCTGCACAGCAAGGGCTGGAGCGTGGGCCCCTTCCTGAGGTGCAGCTTAGCTGCAGGCCCTGATGCTCTGCCCCCTTGCTTCTCCCCAGCTGCTCTGGCAGCTCACATGCAGTTCCGAGCAGCCAGGTCCCTGTGCACAAACTTCTGCTCTGCCAGGTACTCCATGCCGCGGGCCACCTGCAGGCCGAAGCTGATGAGGTCCTTCACCGTGGGGTTCTAGGGGCACAGGTGGGTCAGTAGGTGAGGGCAGAGCAGCTCCATCCTCAGCTGCTGCCCAAGCCCCTGACCCAGGGCCCACTGAGCACTGACCCGCTGGGGTGAGCGGATGAACTGGAGCAGGTCTCCGTGGCGCATGTAGGGCAGCAGCACACGAGGCAGCCCTTCAGGCGGAAGCATGATCCCAATGAGAGCCAGCACGTTTGGGTGGTGCAGACCCCGCATGAGCAGCCCCTCGCGCAGGAAGGCCTCCACCTCCTGCACTTCTGTGATGCCTGCAGAGCGGCTTGAGTCAGGCCCAGGGCAGGGAGCCAAGGGTCAGACAGGGAAATGGAGAAGAAAGTTCTCCTGCTCAGGGTCGCTCAGTGAGGTGGTTGCACAGCAGGGACGGAGACCCTCCCAGCCTCTGTCCCACTTACGACTCAGCGACTTGATGGCACAGTGGACTCGATTCTGGGCCTCGTCTATGTATTCTCCATGGTAGACGACTCCAAAATGGCCTATGAGGGAGAGATGGTGAGAGGAGCCCCAGTGCCCAGGGCTCCACCACACCCTCTCATTGGCACCTAGACCTCAGAGCACCAACTGGCCAATCTGACATTAAAGACGAGCGGCAGCTTCCGGATGGCAGAGCCTGCAGCCTTCCTAGGCCCACTTAATCTGCACCAGAACCCAGTGAGGACAGAATTTCTGTTTCCCAGATGAGCAAATGGAGGCTCAGAGAGGTTACACAGTATGCCTCAGGTCACACAGGTTGGTGAGGCCAGAGCAGAGGCCTGCCTAACTGTTCCTTGAGCCCATGTCATCTCAGGACTCCATCTCTGTCCCAGTCCCAGCTGGCCTGGCCCCCATACCTTTGCCAATGACTCGGTCAGTGTGGGTGAGCACCCGTTCATGGGGAATCAGCACATCCTTAACCTCGGCCAGGAGCGTGGGGTTCAGGTCCCCAAGTTGAATGGACTCTTTCCTCAGCAGTGGGACATGGGATCCGACCCCACTGTCTGAGAAGGATGCTCTGCGGATCCGAGTGGTAGAACCCAGGTCACTGATGGCAGGGGATGCTGTGGAGGACAGGGAGTGAGGGACTTGTGGCACAGAGGGCATGGCCCCAGCTTCTAGTACTGCCACCATCTCACCGAGGCCATTTCTGTAGTCAGAGCCTGAGCGGAGAATAGGCAGAGGTAAGTCTCCAGTGGTCCTGTCCAGGGATGCCAAATCATCCAGAATTGGAGAAAGGACTGTGGAAAAATGGCCCCTAGTGGCCAGCCATTCCAAGCTCCTAGAGGCTGACCCCTACCCAGGAGGCATGGGCAGACCGAGGATATAGGGGCTTGGAGGTGTCACTGTTTTGGGGTAGGGGCTGAGTCAGGATGGGAGTGGAGAGCTCACCTAGCTGTTTCCTCCTGTAGTAACTGAAGACCAGTACGGCGGCCAGTACACCCACAAGCAGGAGCAGGGCCAGCAGGACACCGAGGAGCATGCTCTGGGGGACCCCTTCCAGACCTGGCCGCACTACCCTGCCCAGGATGTGACACCCACCATCCACGCAGACCTAGGGGCAGGTGGCAGCTCAGGCCCAGCCTGCAGGCCCTCAACCCATGTCTCCTGCAGAAGGCCTGCTGAGCTGCCTACCTGCAGTGGAGCACCATCCTTGCCAAGTTGCAGGGAGAGGGGCAGGGGGCAGATGACCACATCCCCTCGGAGCTCATGCCGGCAGCTCTCACCTCCCACGGTCACGTTCACATCCACACAGTCAGCCACAGCACCCAGCCCAATATACTGCAGAGACAGTCATGAGGACTGGCCAGTGCCCCCATCTCCTTTGGGCAGGCTTCAGCCCCAACCCTCCACTGTCCCAGCCCCTCATCCCCCACACTTACCTCAAACTTAATGGCATGCTCCTCAGGCTTCAGTGGGGCCAGGTCTGTGCTGGGTGGGTAGGGTGGGGGCAGGAAGCGAAAGCCAGGCAGTGTGAAGCCAGGAGCCCCATCCCCCTGGACACTCAGGTTCCCCATCACCCACCCCTGAGGGCCTCGGACCACGTATTCAGGCAGGCGGCACCAGTGCTGCTCCGGGAGCTGCCCTTCACACTGCTGGACCCATGCGAGAGTGGTTAGCCAGGTATCCTACCTACGGCCACCCCAGTCCCCCAGCTCAGCACAGGGTAGGGCTGGAACTCAGGGGACTGGTGTGGCCTTCCTCCCTCCTGGCCAGTGCCCACTTTGCAGCTGCCAGCACCCGCTCACCCTGTTCTCCACTGCCTTAAACCCATCATGGAATGACACCACGAGGTGCTGCACTGAAGTCAGGTGCTGGCCACGGATGGTCACATAGGAGCCACTGTGGAGGAGAGTGGGGTGGCGAGCTTGGGGTGCTCTCCAAGACTGGATCCTTCGTTCTTAGGAGACCAGAGTGGGCAAGGAGGTGGCACTTACGTGTAGCCACAGTTGGGGCTGATGCCCAGCATGATGGGGTCTTCCTTGTAGTGGAAGTTCCAGGAGCCAGGCACCTTGGCACCCCCTACCTGCAGGCGAATGGGAACGCTGGCAGTAGCGGCCCCTGGGGGTGTGGTACATAAAAGCTGCCCCTCGTTGACCCTGCAGAACAGGTGGATTGGGCTCAGAGGCACCCTCCACGTGATGGTCAGGCCCAACTCCTCCAGGGGCCTGCCGATCCCTCCCAGTTCCTCTGCTGGTCATCCCCTCAACCTGCCCTACTCCGTGGCTCTGTCTGAAGGTAGGGTGGTCCCAGTAAGTCCTCCAAGAAGACAAGGAGGGAACAGGTTCCCCACAACATTGGCTGGAGCCATTGGACTCTAGGTCTAGAGGCAGTGGACTCTCCTGACATCCCCAAACCACCTCTGAGCTGGAGAAAGCAACAGACCCTTCTTCCTGGACCTGTTCCTTACACTGACCATGTGACTGAGCCCTCCTCCTTCTGCCCTGACAGGGATCCAAGCCCCACGTGGTGAGGGCTCCCCTGTGTGGGACCCTGTGGATTCCCATCCCCTTTCCTGATGGAACTTACCGTTTCAGCGGGCACTCAGTCCCATTGATGAACACAGCCCGGCTGGTACCTACAGACAGGTCTTGGCCTTCAAGGGTGAGGGAGGTTCCCCCTGCCCGTGGGCCAAAGAGGGGTTGTACTGTTCTCAGCACCGGCTCCTGAGAGGGCATGGAGGTGGCTTAGCTTGCAGTAGGAGGCCCTCTACCCAAACCCTTCCCTGCCCGAATTGCCCAGCAGGCCAAGAGAATAGACAAGGCAAGGTGGCCTCACCACAAAAGAGAAGCCTTGAAGCATGGAGGTGCCATCCACCCGGAAATGCCTGCCCAGTGGCACGTTGGACACAGTGAGGCTGACGTTGGCAGGCCCAGCTACCTGCGTGACCAAGGGCTCCAGCTCACACTCAAGCTCCTCTACAAAGTACTTCCGGGGCACTTGGCTGGGACACCAGGGGAACTCAAAGTCAGCCAGGGGCCACCTTGGCTGGTTGCCTGCCCACTACAAATCACAGGTCTCCTCTGAGCTTTTCTTCCCCCAGGTAGGGCAGGATCTGGCAGAGCAGAGACTAACCTTGCCAGGCCAGGACTCAACAGACAGGTAGGGCACATGCAGGCTCAAGAAGGGACAGAGATGTCTCCCCAGACACAAAGCCACAAAGCCATTGCAACTTACCCCATACCACTATGCCCCACACAAGCAGAAGACAGGGTCTCACAGGGACGGGGCTGCTTGGTTACTCCCATCAGGGATCAAAAGGGTAGAGACCAGGTTGTACCTGAGGTTTGAGCTGTCCTTATGCAGCAGTCGGCAGGGACTTTGACCCACGGTAACCTGATGGGTGTCTTTAGGCACCAGGCCAGTAGGGTGTAGGTTGAAGTTGGAGCCACACAGGGTTAGCCTTGTGCTGCCCCTCAGGGGTCCACTCTGGGGGTGGAACTGAGGGGAGAGGAGGAGATGGCCTGAGTCCCCTGCTGGGTCAGGACTCCCAGCCTCGTCTGCTTTCCCCGAAGTTTTCTGCCATACTCCTTGCCTGTCTCACACTTCATCATTCTAGGTCTCTTACTAGTCCTCACTCAAAACTTTTCTGCCTCTAAGTCTTTGCATGTGCCATCCTCTCTGCCAAGAATGCCCTCCTTGTAGATACTGAGGTCAGCTCAGGCCTGAGGAAGATCATGGTCAAGAGCTGCTGACCCCCACCTCAGGCCCAGCTTGCCCCGCCCTTACCTGTGTCCTGCCAGGCAAGCCATACCTCAGTAAGCTCTGGTGGGCAATGGTCCTGTTGCCAGGAGCCAGGACACTCCTTCTGCCGGCCACACATGCCCCCACACCATCCACAGCCCATGAAACGCTGTGCCCGCAGGCAACGCCAACAGGTGAGGAAGTGGCGGCAGCCAGGGCCCCGGACAGGTACCTGGAAGACCTTGGACAGACAGGTGGCTCAGGGGTGGCTAAAGGTGGTGGGGGCACCAGGTCCCTTAGACCCCCTGGTCCCAGTGTAAACCAGGGAGGTGAGACCTGTGTGTCAGTGCCTCCCTGGATCAAATGGGGTGGCTGTGCTCCCACAGCACAGTCCCAGGCCCTGCCCTGCCCCACCTTACCTTGTCCCCAGAGGCAAAGAGAAGGTGGTCCCCAAGGCGACTGATATCCCGATGCACAGGCTGCCCATTGCTGCCCAGTGAGAAGTTGGACACGTACAGCAAGTAGTTGAGAGACCTGGCCAGTTCCACCTGGGACAGGTCAGCTGTGAGCAAAATGGGGATGAGGGTTTGGGGACAAGGGGCTGTGGAGATGAGGAACCTACCTGCAGGATGCGCCCATCAGCTGTGCCCATGTGGGCCAATGTGACATTGTTGAGGCGTGTCACGTGCAATGCAGTGACCTGCACTGGCCCTAACAGCCCATTGAAGAGGTCCACACGTGAGAAGCTGCTGCTGACCAGCAGAGGGAAGTGGCGGCAACTGGTGTTGGGGCTGAGAGCCTCCAGGCCAGGCTGGGGAGGGTCAGGGAAGGAGTCAGGGCTCATCTCCATGCACTGACCCCTTGGGAACTCTGCCAGTGACCACCACAGCCCAAACTCCCACCCCTCACCTGCCCTGGCTGCAGAAGGTCCCAGGCCTGCCAGTTTCCCCACCCCCTCCATGGGGCTCTCAGAAGTAGCAAGGCCAGGGAAGAAGGCCAAGGCTGGAAGTCTGGCTCAGCTCCCCCTGCACGTCCATTCTGATAATGAGTCTTACAGAGTTAACCCCATTCTGTCCTCACAGCCTTGCTGTAGAGTGGGTACTCTCACCACCCCCATATTACAGAGAAGGAAACTGGCTCACAGAGGTTTGCTCACCTGTCAAGGCCTTATAGCTACTCCTCTCCTCAGGAGAGGAGCCAGGTTGGAAGTCTGAGTTCTTGATCAGAGTCCTCTCCTGCCCCCTGCTGGTTCCTCCCTGCACTTCACAAACCCTGTTCCCTCTTAAGGCTTCGGTTTCTACACCTGCGTAAGGGCCTGAACGCTGAGGTTAATTGGCCAGCACAGGGTTAGTAACATGGTCCTTCTCCCTGAGACACCACAGGTCTTCCTGAATCTCCAGCTGCTACCTGTACCTCCTTCAGGGTACAAAAGGGATAAACCAAAGCCTGAGGGTCTGTATACCAGACTAGGCCCTGGGGCTGGGAAACAGTAATTTCTCCCCTGCTCTTAGCAGGAGGGTGTTTGGGGTTGAGTGCCCAGGGCAAGGCTGTGGAAGCCTCTGGGACACCAGGAAGTGAGAGTGCGAGTGTAGGGTATCGAGCTGGGCTCAAGGTGTAGCCAGGGATCTGTAGCCTTAGCTGCTCGGAACCCTCCCTTACCAGCCCTAAGGGTGGTCCCCAAGGCTGACAGAAGGCCCCTATTAGACTAAGTATGCTTAACCCAGTCCTGATTGAAAGTCTTGGGAGCAAGAGTAGGTCTCGAGCTGGGCCCTGAAACTCCACACACTGGATCTGTAGCCTGGGTCGGTGGGGACTAGGACTCTGTCCTCACTGGAGGTGGGTAAGAGACTTGAACCTAGCAGGAAGCCAGCCAGGTGATTTCAGTATGACTCAGCGACAGGTGGGGCTGTGGGGTGGAAAAGAGGCCCTATCCCAGTCAGAGCCACACCCGTGCCTGTTGGCCCCTGGGCTCCAGGGCCTTAGCTCTGGGTTCCCAGGCCTGTCTAGAGGCCTCTGGTTCCGGAAAACACTTAAACATCCAATGCCCCATAGTGGAAGGTGACCCCCCCAGACTCAAACCCTGTCTGAACTCATGGTGGGCAGGTCCCAGCTCTGAGCCCCTCAGGCTTCATGAGGGCAGCCACAATGAGCACACAGTGGGTGTCTTCCTGGAGGCTGCAGGCCCAGTCACAGGACACTGTGCAGGCTGGTCCACACAAGGCCTGGCTAGCCTATAGGCAGGGCTTGAGCCTGGCACTACCAAGTTGTGCTGGGTTTCTTCTGATCCCCTGACCACTAGCCAAGTCAGGGAGAGGTTCCGACTCCCTGAAGGAGAGGAGGCCAGGCAGGGCCACCCAGCTCAGACTAGGGATCCCAACCCCTAAGGCCTCCTCAACCCATATGGAGTCAGCAGAGGGTAGAAGCTGAAGACTCCCTACCCTTCATTGTGTATAAATTCTCCTCCCAGCACTGCGGCATCAGTCAGAGCAAAAGGAGTTAGTGGAGAATGTCATAGCAGGGCTAGGGCCACAGGGCAGCCAAAGACTCAGAGAGCAGTGACTGTGGGTCAGCTTGCTAAAAGGCCACTTGTCCAATGCCATTTGTTCATTCATTCCATTGCCCTGGGTTAGTCTCTTGTATGGTGGAACTGTTTCAATGGCTTCAAGGGATCAGTTTTGGTTTTGTCCTCAGGGAAGTATTTTAAGGAATTTCCTTTTTGTCTCTTCTCCAGATCCCTGACACTTATGCTGGAGAGAACCTGGGTAGGATCTGCTGGAAGGCATCCCCAGTTAAGCATGGGCTGGGAGACCTCCTTCCTGGGGTGAGAAGGGGGACTGAGGCAGGGCCCCAACTATGGTGAAAGAAAGTATGGGATTCCTGCATGGTGAACCAATTCTAATCAGCCTCTCCTAGGCCTTTACTCATCCCCAGATGTTTATAGTTGATTGCACAAGACTGGAGTGAGCCTTCTGGAATCTACCAGAGCCAAGCCTCCTTCCCACTACATCCTGAATCCTCTCCCAATCACCCAACGGAGAACAATCAGGAATGAGTGGATCAGTAAAGCCCAAGGCATGCAGGCTCCCTGACAAGCCCCCAACTTCCAAGGCCCAGGAGGCTCTCTAGAGGGGGAGGCATTCTCTGACAATCCCTGACCCACCCTCCTTGGAAAGCAGAGCAAAACAACTGTTCCTACAGGGAAAGCAAAACAGTGTTGGTGAGCAGCTATGAGTCTGGATGAATCTGTGAGCATCTGCCTGTGTGGAGGGCGCTGCTTTTCTGTGCATGTCCCTAAGGTTATATGTCGTGAGCAGATGGGAAGGGACACCCATCATTCTACCCAGCATTTGGAAGTGTGCCTGGCAGAGAGACAGTTATGCAGTCTGGTTTTCACATGGCCAGGGAAACTACCTAAAAAATCAAGAGGCCAGGGTGAGAGGGTTAAAGAGCAAAATGGCATAGCAACAGGGTCCAGCCTGGCCAGGAGATGAGCCTCCAGTGTGGCCTTTGGCTGATTCCCTCACTACCCTAAAGAATAGGGTGGAAGAGAAAACTTGCCCCCAACTGCCCTCCCCCTTCCAGATCCCCTCGGTACCGGAAGAGAGGCAGCTGGAAGGGAAGCATGCACACAATGCTCACAAGTGAGGGCCCCTTCTTTCTGCTCACCGGGTGAGGGCAGAAACTGGGCAATTGAAAGAAGTCAAGGTCTCGGCGGAGGCCAGGGTGGACTGGAGGCTCACAGCAGCGCTCTACTCCCTGATCAATGAGAGTGTTCAGCAGATCAACTGGGAAGGCACAGACGACAGAGCTGGGATCCACAACTGACTTGCTGTCCCTGCTAGCCGAGAAGACCCCAAATAGCACTTCCTGGCCCTCGGCGATGCTCAGTTCAGCAGCCAATCTGCTGCCCACAGGAGCGGCATGGGCTGCCCTCAGCACCGGGTAGGGATGCCCTCCCTCATGGGCCGCGCGACGCCGGCGTTTAGGCTCAAAACTGCAGTCAAGGACCATCTCGCGGTAGTTGCCCAGGTCGGTCTCTACAGCACTGAGCCGTGCCACACGTGTGTGTAAGGCACCAGGAGCGGCTGCCACGTTGGCTGGCTGCACCATCAGAAAGTAGACAAAGGCTCCCGCGCGGAAACTGTACACATATTCGATGCGGTAGGAAGCGAGGTGCTCGGGCAGCACTGATAGTGCTGCAAAGCCTGGTGCAAATCCTGAGACGTCAGCCTTGAGGCGCCGGATGGACACTGAGCCGGGGCTAAAGCTGGCGGCCACTGTTGAGTTCAGCGAGGATGCCACGTAGAAGTAGGAGGCATGGCCCTGCTCAACCACGGTCACAAGGGTGCCCAGAGGGCTGGCCACACAGTCGGGACAGTCCTCGGGCCGATTGTGGTGTGCAGAGAAAAGGCAGGCTGGTGGTGCCAGGTGCAGGGCTGCCCCTTGGGGCTCTAGCTCATGCAGGAAGCAGCGACCATGAAGGCTGGAGCCACAACTGATCAATGCGGGCAGCGCCGGCTCCAGCACTAGCACCTGCGCATCTGTATCCTCCCGCGGGCCGTGGGGGCCCGGGCCACAGGCCGCACACGTCCGGCAGTCTGGGTCCCCGACAGGGCCCGTGGCCAGGCTCTCAATTGGTTGGAAGTCAGGCCCAAGCACGTTCAGGCGATTGCGTATGGCCACAAACACGGCACTCTCTTCCCCGCCGCCCTCATAGGTCGCCACGGCCTGTACCGGACCGCCGGCGGAGAAACTGGGCACCAAGTACTCCACTTCAAAGTCGCGGGAAGCAGCGTAGGGGACGCGCGGGCACTGCCAGGACCCAACCATCTCGGGCACCGCCGGCAGCAACAGCAGTAGTAACAGGAAGGGCTGCAAAGGTGGCGGGTGGAGCTCCATCGAGGCCCAGAAGGAGCCCCGCGAGGTTCCTGCAGGCCCGGGCCCGGCTGGGAGCCGACTAGAATCCTGTGTTGGGACCAGTGGGGAGTGCCGGTCCTGAGAGCCCTCCGGCAGCTGACCCCGCCAGGGCTTCTGAGATGCCCACCGCTCGCCCCCGCCCTTGGGTCTGAGCACCTGACGCGGGCAGACACACTCACCGACAGGGAACAGAAAAGCTGCCTCACCTGCTGCTCCAGCTGCCGCTCCCAGCTGGCGCTTGGAGCAAAGTCTGTCGGAGCGCCCCGGGCGGGGCTTGCCGGGCCGGGGTATGGGGGCGGGGCTGTGGGCTGGGCCCGCTGTAGGCCTGGCCTATCCCCGCCCCTCTGCCCGTCCGACTCTCCTGGTCCTCGAAAGCCTGGGTCCTACACCTACTCTTGGGCGCCTTTTTTTTCCCCTCAGTGGCCTGTGGGTGGGTGTGCGTGGAGTGGTCTGGAGAGAGGTTACACAGATCTGAGCCGTCCCGACCCGCCGCCAAAGACTGGGCAGAGATGAGGAAGGACCAGGGCTGCCCCAGCGCGTTTGAGGACCACTCGGCTTCTTTATTCTCTTGGAGCCGGGATACAGCAACATCCTCAGACGCTGGTTTCCGGGCAGGGCCTGAGAGACCCACCATGTGGGGAACAGAGACCAGGAATGTGTGGAGGACCAGAGGGGAGGTGTGGAGAGATCCCAGGAGTGACACTACCCTCTGTGGGCAGGGACTATCCTTCTGTGGGCCTGCCCCGGGCTGTTAGCGACAGGATGGTGTCAGAGGATGGACCATTGCAGCCTGCCCACCCATGGCAGTAGGAGTTATAAGTTGGGGCTAGCCCTGCTGACTGGACGTTAGACTCAAAAGAGAAGCTGCTTATTAGGCCCAACCCTAGCTCACTTTGTCCACTGCTGCTTCAGTAGGTGACAGCTGTAAGTTGGGGACAACAAAACATCACAATGCTGGCCTTCCTTCCTGGCTCTGCTCCAGTGCCCCCCTGATATGGGAGAAACATGGGCTTTTGGCTCTGAGGGCAACTCTAACCTTCACTGTTAGCCATGCTGGGCCTCAGCCTCTCAGTCTCTGGAATGAGGACATAGTTCTAACTGGGTGGTTGCCCAGAGTCCTCTCTCCAGGCTGTGATATGTGTGGGGCAGGGGTAGGGGAGGCAACCTAGGTCTGCTCTTGCCATCTCTCACCAGGGCCCCCCTAACACTGGAGGGGATCCTGGGGGACATCCTCAACCTGACAGTCCCTTCAGCCAGGTGGGCCTGGAGGAAGGGAAAGCTTCACAGGGTGGTCCTGGGCTGAGGTCTGAGGGATCTGTGAACTGTGAGTCCCAGAGCTTTGGAGGGTGAGGTGGCTGGTAGGGAGAGTTGCCCTCAGCCCCACAAGATTCAGCCTGACCCTAAGTGTTTTTCTTCTACTTGCCGCCCAGCCCATATTCCTTGTTCCTCCTTCCAGGAGCACCCTTTTCCCTTTCTTCTCTTGTAGCTTAGGTGGCATCTCCTCCAGGAAGCCTACCTGGTCCAGGCAGTGCCAGGTCCATTTTGTGGATCCCAGAGACCCTGTGCTACACCTACCCCAGCACAGTTCACTCTGGACACCTGACTCCCCCTTCCCCCATTCCTAATGCTAGACTCCCCTACCTCTCTAGGCTGGAGCTCAATGAGCACCTGGTGACAGAAGGGAAACAGCACCGGGTGGCCACACCTAGTGCTGGGAGATACCGTGCCTCGGGCAACATAAAAGGCACTCCCTTCTCTAACCAGAATTGGCCCGGAAATGAATAAACATCCATCAGAAATTATGGCACCATTCCTGTTCCACAGTCAACACGTCTAAAGACAGTCATGCAGGACAAAACTGAAATGAACTATTCCCTGCCTAGTGCCATGACATAGGTTCTTGTGACAACCATCCCGCCTCAGGTTACTGGGACAGAGACTTCTGGGGCTTGGGAAGAAACTTCAAGGGTCCTCCTTGATCACCCCAGCCATTGGAGGTGGGAGGGTGCAGCAGTCAAAGTTGGTTCTCTGCTGCCACCGTGTGGTCAAGCTGCAGACTGCCCCAGGTGGGCATCTCAGGCAGCCTCAGTCCTTGACAGAGGGCGTCCCAAGAGTGCCCTTCCTCCTACCTTAGCCGCTTTGTCTGCAGGAGGGAGGCAGGCAAGCCACATGGGGGAGGTCAGCTGCCTTGCGGTGCCGGTGCCGAGTACAAGGGCTCCCCCAAGGTGAACTTCCAAGGCTCGGCCCATGTTTAGCTTAGGACCTTTTCAATTGCCCTTTCATTTGTCACCTTGAAGGAGTGTTAGCCCTCTTGCCCTCTTCGGGCTCTCACCCCCCTCTAAACACTATACCATAGAAGTAGTCCCAGCCTCTTTCTCCAAACCAGAGAGATCATCTTTGTGGCTGCAGGGGGAATCTCTCTAACCACAATGTAACCACATCACTCTACAGCTTTAAAACATTCAATGGCTCCCCACTGCCAGATTTTTACCTGGAGTCTAAAAACCCTAGGCCTTAAAGACTCCTCCAGCTTCACTGTAAACTAGTCATGCTAGGTTTTTTACCCCATCAGGTTTCATACCAGGTTCATCTGTTTCCGCATGCTGTTTCCTCCACTAGGAACACCTTCTCTGTTTGCCTGTTATCCCTTCCTTGCTCCCCAAGCAAGTAAACCCCACACTCCTGGGTGCCCACTGTTCTAGGTATACACACTCATCTAATTGAGACTGCCCCTTCCCACCCCCACCCCCAGAATAGGAGCTGAATGCAGAAAAGCTGAGAGCCCTACAGGAATCTGGGCAGCTAACAGGGACACCTAAGGGCTGACCGCTGACCAGAACACCAGTAGCAGTCAGAGACAGCTGGCCCAGAATCACCCTGGCCCCAGAGCCAGTGGTTTGGTGTCCTGGCCAGGAGCAAGGGAAGGAATAGAAGCAGGAAGAAGACAGAAAAGTGACACAGGGCACGTGTGCAGCAGAAGCAGCACCCACCAAGCCTGTGGCTGCTCGACAGGAGCTTTAGGGGTCCGGCAGATGGCCTGCTACCATACCCATTTCCTGGGACAGCCATTCCAGTCCACACTTGGCTCATGCCACCCACAAGTATTGCCCAACAAGGGTTGGTTTTAGTGGCAGAGTATCTTGGCCCAGCACTCAGAGACTGCATGAGGGTGATTCACTCTAGTCTGAGGACCATATTCAATGGACACTCTTCTCCCATAAATACTCCCTAGGCCTTTTGCTCCCCTGGCCAGTGGGATGGTTAAGTTGTGGCAGAATTGTGAGAGCCCCCCAGCAGTAAGGTAGAGGCTTTCTGCACTGTGCCTTGGGCTCTGTTCAAAGAACATCTCATGGTAGGGTTAATGGGGCTGGGCCTTCACTGCCGAGCCTCCTGGGATGTCCATGGTGACCCACGTAGGCTGGGCCATGCCAGGGAACAGAGTGACTGAAGAGATCCCAGTCTACCTAGTGACAACACCCCTTCTTAAAGCAGGGTTCACTCCTACCTTAGAGGTCAGCTGGGTCTTCCTTCAGGCCCTCCAGCTCACTCCTGGGGGCCACTCTGAGGAAGGTGCTGGCTGGAGGTAGGGGAACTGAGGTGGACAGCCCTTCATGAGGAAGCCTAAGCTGGGACAATTTCCCCAGAGGCTGGACTCAGAATTTGTCTGTGCTGAACACTAGGCCGCCTCACCAAGGGCTCCTACCTATGCCCGGGCTCAGACTCTCCCCACCTGAGTGTCCCCATCTTACTCAGCTCAGCCTCTGCTGAACTGCAGCAGCCCAAGAGCAGAGCCACAGCTAGGGTTCTCAAATAGTTGGGTGGTCCTTCAGGGCATGCAGCTGGGGGGTCCCACCTAGGAGTAAGGAGGAGGCACTAGGGGTTCAGACCGAGTATGGAGATGGGGCTTCACACGGGTGGGGGGCAGCACTGCCAGTGGGGTACTGGCAAACACTTTGCATGTGGGAGACTTCAGCTAAATGAAAACAGCCCCAGCCCAGGGGTCATCTCTGAGCACATGCAGCCTGAGCACATGCTGTGCAAGGGAGGGAGAAGAGAGGCTCAATTGTGCATGTGCCCTGTGCATGGGGAAGCCTGGGCGGGGCCTAGGGAGGAGGATGCAGTGTCTGTATGTGAGGGAGAGTGGGTGAGTGCAGGAACCAGTGACAAGGTCCAAGAAGTATCTTTCCCAAAGCACTTTAATGCACACACCAACCCCACAGTCCCTGCCTGCTGCCTGGGCAAGAGAGGCCAGCCCCACCAGGAGGCTCCCATCGCTTCCACAGCCCAGTGTGCTTAGGAGGGCTGAGCCCCACACATTCTCATCAGTAGGTGAGGGGTGTGAGGATGAAGAGGCGGTCTTCTTCTTTGCGGATCCAGCGCATCAGTTTATGGATGGCACTGACAGCCGACGCCTTGGTCCCCAGGGGGCTGTAGCACATGTAGAGCTCAAAGGCACCTGTCACCTGGAAGAGGGGCACAGGGTGGTCATCCTATTAGACACCATTTGTGGCTCTTGCCCAGGACCCTGATGTAGCCCATCCCATCCCAGGGCCACCTTACCCAGGCCAGGAGGTTCTCGTTGGGGCCCGTGTAGTAGATGGTCTTGAGTGGGCGGGAGGCATTGTGGGCACGGCTATGCAGGTACTGGTAGAGGCCCAGCAGCCGCTCCTGCTCCTCTTCACTGGTGTATGGGGCCTCAATCTCAGGGCTGGAGATGGGGGAGTGGGTTCGCAAAGGAGTGACTTCCACTGGCTTCTCTAGAGATCCAGAAACACCTATTCCTAGCCAGGGAGACTCTGCCATGTGTCCTACCCTCCAAATGCTCCCCCAGCACAAGGTATTGTTTCCCCACCTCTGAAGTCTCCCCAGGATAGGGCTGGGCACACTCAGACTGGAACCCTGTTCTCCCATCTCCCTCAAGTTCATGACATCTTTGGTGATACTCTCCTGGAGAGGCCAGTCTGAATTTAGGTGTCCAAGACAGAGTGACAGGTCTAAAGTAGAGGAATAGTAAGCTGGGAATCCCCTGGACCAAAAGGGGTAAAGGGAGGATAGAAGTTGCCACATCTGGCTCCAGCCCCTCTGTTGAAAGAAGTAGAGGAAGAGTTCTACATCCTGGGCTAGACCAAAATGACCTTATCTTAAGAAAGAGCAGCTCCAGGCCAAAAAACCCAGGAGACCTCTGTTCCAGCTTCCTTCCCTGGGTATACTCGGTATTTTGAGGCCTTGTGGGCAATGAATGAAATAGAGGATAT